GCTGCTGCTGCTGCTGCTGCTGCTGCCGCCGCTGCTGCTGCTGCTGCTGTCCAAACGCCACTCAGCAGGGCCCGCAGTCTGCACAAACTCCAGCTCGTCGTCCACCTGCACCCATTACACGCCCAAACCCTAAGCCCTAAACCCTAAACCCTAAAGCCTCAACACCCTACTTCAGTGGACATACATGCACGCTGCAGCAGTTTTTATGGGGCTTTGTCGCCTTCCCAAGACAAAAGGCGACAGCAGCCGCAAAAAGCAATGCGCAAGCAAGGCAGCCGCAGCAGCAGCTTCCAGTGCAGCAGCAGCTGCCGCAGCAGCAGCTGCTGCAGCAGCAGTTGCAGCAGCAGTTGCAGCTGCTCACTAATGCCTCGAGTGGCGTAATGCCGTATTTGGCTTTGAACTTGCGCAGCGTCTCATCAGAAGCAGTGTGGGGTCCTGCTGCTGCTGCTGCTGTTGCTGCTGGGTCGATGCAGCGAGCTGCTTCCTCCAAATCAAAAAGACGGTCCAAATCTTTACTGGGAAAAAAAGGATTCTCAGGCAGCTCCTGCAGCTCCTCCTCCACCTGGAGCAGCAGCAGCAGCAGCAGAAGCAGCAGCGGTGTGGCGGCTAGGAGGGTTGATCGCCGCATGCGCCATCTGCTCTGCTTCTGCACGTGCAGTTACGCCAAAGCAGCAGCACAAACAACTGCAGCAGCAGCAGCAGCAGCTGACAGTCTTGGCTGGAATGCCGTGGAGCAGCTTGTAAGGGTTTGCTGCATCAAAGTCAAGAAGGTTGCCTTTGCCTTTTGCTGCAGCAGCAATTAAAAGCCGAGCCGTCTCCATGTCTTGCCGGGACACAGACACAGGCGGAATGTCCCCGTAAGGCAGGTAATCCTCAAACTGCAGCAGCAGCAGCGGCAGCAGCAACAGCAGAAGCAGCAGAGTCAAAAGGGGCGCTTGCCTGGGAACAGAGGGAAGAGGCGCATGCGCCGAACTGCAGCGGCGACAGCAGCAGCAGCAGCAGCAACGACGGGAGGCGCAGCAACGGCGTTTGAGGAGCAGCAGCGAACAAGCGAGCATAGGCAGAAAACAGGAGAGGAAAAGATAGAAAGACAAAAATGAGAAAAGGAGATCAAAAGAAATTAAAAGACATTAAAAGGACAAAAATTAAAAAAATAAAACTTCTCACTGTCTCAGGGCCCGCGCACAGCCAATCGGAGAGACCAACTTCTGCTAAGGATCTGATCGCAGCAGCAGCAGCAGCAGCAGCAGTGGCTGCAGTACAGAGAGCAGCCACAGTGCTAACTACCACGGCAACAGCAGCAGTCGCTAGAGCAGCTACAGCAGCAGTTGCAGCACCAGCTGCAGCAGCAATAACAGCAACCGTCGAGGCAGCAGCAGCTGCAGCAGCTATAGTGTCTGTAACTGCAACAGCTGTGGTTGCAGTGGCAACAGCACCTTCACAGCAGCAGCAGCAGCAGCAGCAAAGAAAAGAAGCCGGGAAGCTCACCCAAAAAGGCGAGAGACAGCAGCCTCAACTTCAGGTGTATAGACACCTTTGCCGTCAGGTCCCGTCAGCTGCAGCAGCAAGCGCAAGAAGACAGATTAAAAGATATACAATAAAGAAAAAAGAGCAGCAGCAGCAGGACCATTTGTAGCAGCAGCATCAGTGGTAGTAGCAGCAGCAGTAGCTGCAGCGGAAGCTACTGCCAGCTTTGCTAATATTGGCCCTCAGAGCCAGCAGCAGCAGCAACCAGCAACAGCAGCAGCAGCAACACTATCAGCAGCAGCAGTAGCAGTAACACTTGCAGCAGCAGCACCACCACCACGAGCAACAGCAGCAGCACAGGCAGCAGCAGTAGCAGCAGCAGCGGGAGCGTTACCCCGAAGAAGGCAGCAAGGCCCTTGAGTATCTGTGGGGCGTCAGCGTGCTGCTGCTGCAGCAGCAAACTGTCAACAGCTTCTTCTTTGATGAGAAAAGAGTCGAAGAGAGCGTCGAAGCCAACATCATAAAAAGGGTCTCTCAAACGGCGAAGACAAACAGCAGCAAAACGCTCATCCGTGCTGCTCTCCGGGCTGCTGCCGCTGCTGCTGCAGTAGGTCGGGCTCAAAGACACGGGAGGCGAGCTGCTGCTGGCAGCCTGTGGGGCCACGCGTGGCAGCAGCAGCTGCCGCCGCTGGCTAGCCACCACCCGCTCCAGGTGGCTAGCTAGCCACGCTGCCACTTGCTGCAGCAGCAGCAGCACACACAGGCTGCTGCAGCAGCAAACGTCCACACAAGCACGCAGCTGCAGCAGCAGCAAACAAACGGACGCAGCTGCTGCGGCAAAAAACGAGAGGACAGGCACGCAGCTGCTGCTGCAGCAAACAAGCAGATCCGGACTCAGCTGCTGCAGCAGCAAACGTAAGCACAAACACGCTGCTGCTGCAGCGGCAAACGGATAAGCATGCTGCTGCTGCTGCAGCAAATGAGAGGACATGGAGGCAGCTGCACAAGCAGCAAACGAGAGGACGAGGAAATATCTGCTGCAGCAGCAAACAAGCGAACACCGAGAAAGGTGCTGCAGCAGGCAACAGGCAGCAGCCAGAGTACCCCACCCGCGGTTACGCGCTGCTGTTGCTGCTGCTGCTGCTTTGCTGCTGCCACTGCAGCAGCAGCACGGAAGGTACACCGAGACGACGTGCTGCTTGCTGCTTCTCTCCAAAAGGCGCAAAGAAAAGACAAAAAAGGGACAAAAAGAGAAGCAAAAGGAGACGAAAAGAAAGACAGAACCAAAAAAAGAAACGAAAAAAGAAGCAAAAAGAGAGAAAAAAGAAAAATAAAAAAGATTAAAAAGTACTTCTTGCCTGCTCGGTCAACTTCTGAAGCGCCGGTGGCATAAATGGCCGCAGCCGCGGCCAGCAGCGCGCAGCCCAGGGAGCAGCAGCAGCGGGAGTTTTCTCAAGGCGGAAGGTCTTGCTCTGTGCAGCAAACAGCAGCAGCAGCAGCAGGTGCTGCAGCAGCGGGGCAGCAGCAGCTCCTGCGCCAGAACGTGTAAAGGAGGCAGCACGAGGAACAAACGGAGCAGTGGAAGCAGCTGCTGCTGCTGCAGCAGGAAATCGCCCCAAGCAGCAGCAGTTGCAGCAGCAGCAGCTGCTGCTGCTGCAGCAGCAGGAAGAGAACTGAAGTAGCAGGAGCTGGTGCAGCCACGGAGGGATCAAACAGAACGCGAAGCAAAAGGAGACAGAAAGAAACACAAATACATAAAACAGGAAGCAAGCAGCAGCAGCACCAGCAGCAGCAGCAGAAGTCCCAGAGGGAACAGCAGTTGAGGAAACGAAGGCAGCAGCAGCAGCAGCAAGCCTCACGAAGGCCTCCAGCAGCAGCAGTAGCCGCTTGGGGTGGTGGCGGGGGGGCAGCAGCTGCTTGTCGACCTGCAGCAGCAGCAGCAGCTGCTGCAGGTCATCTCCCAGGCTCAAAGACACAGCAGCAACAGCAAGCACGAATGCCCTCGGGTTTAAAACGGGAAGGTTGAAGGACAGGGGGTTTGCCTGCGCGCAGCAGATCGCACCTGCTGCTGCTGCTGCTGCTGCTGCTGCTGCTGCTGGGACTGCGGCTGCGGAGGTGGGGGCACTGCTGCTGAGAAGGCTGCAGCAGCAGCAGCAGTCGCAGTGCAACGGCAGCAGCAACACGCTGCGCCCAGCGCAGACTCTACTTCTGCTGCTGTTGCTGCTGCTGCTGCTGCTGCTGCTGCGGCTGCTGCTGCTGCAGCTGGGGTGTATGTACACCGGGACCTACTGAGGGAGGGACAAGGCCATCTTCGCCTTGCTGCTGCTCCTGCTGCAGCAGCAGCTCCTGCTGCAGCGGGGAGTGCTCCAGAGTCAAAGAGTTCAACTGGCTCTCTAAATTCAGCATTGCGTCTTCCTGCACGCAAACCCTAAACCCTAAACCCTAAACCCTTGTCTTCGGTGGCTCCCCTTATCTCTACTGGAGGAAACCCCCCCCAGCAGCTTCAGGTAGGGTTTGGCCGTGGGGCTACAGAACAGGCGTTTAGGGTTTAGGGTTTAGGGTTTGGACCTTATAGAAGGGGTGTGCTCCTGGCCTTTTAGGGTTTAGGGTTTAGGGTTTGGACCTCATAGAAAAGGTCTGCTCCTGGTCTTTTAGGGTTTAGAGTGTAAAGTTTAAGTCTCATAGAAAGGGTCTGCTCCTGGCCCTTTAGGGTTTAGGGTTTAGGGTTTAGGGTTTAGACCTTATAGAAAGGGTCTGCTCCTGGCCTCAGGAGGCGCCAGGCCTTCATTGCCTTCCTCAGGTGTCTATCCAGCTGCTGCTGCTGCTCTTCAGTGAGCCGCCGCTTGGTCCTTCCTGCTGCTGCTGCTGCTGCTGCTGAGGGTGCTTCCGCGCTGCCTGCTGCTTCTGCTGCTGCAGACGTATCTGCTGCTGCCCCTGCTGCAGCTTTGCCGAAAAGAGCTGCCTTTTGCTCCTCTGAAAACAGTGTTGCAATGGCATGTTGCTGCTGCAGCAGCTCCCGCGCAAAGGTTTCCTTTTCTATCCTCAGGGCCTGGCCGTTGCCTGCTGCTGCTGCTGCTGCTGCAGCTGCTGCTGCTGCTGCTGCTGCATTGGGGATGTCGTCAAGGTGTTTGTATCGACGAAGGTCCTGCTGCTGCAGCTTCTTAGCCAAATGGCTTCGGTGCAGCAAACGCGAACTGTTCAAACGCCAGTAGACCCTGCTGCTGCTGTTGCTGCTGCCGCAGCAACTAGAGCAGCAGCTGCTGCTGATACCCATCCTGCTCCTCAGGTCCACAGAGCTCCTGCTGCTGCATGCGCTGCAGCAAGACGGACTGCTGCTGCTGCTGCTGCTGACAAGGCGGGAGCCCAGGCTCCTGCTACTGCAGTTGCCACATTTGCTACTGCTGCTGCTGCTGCTGCTGCTGTTGCTGCTGCTGTTGCTGCATCCCTTCAGCCCTGAGCAGTCGGCCGCCAGCTGACCTCTAGGCAACGGCCTGGGGAGGGGAAAGTCAATAAACTGCTGCTGCTGCTGCTGCTGCTGCAGAGCTTGTGACCGCTGCAGCTGGCGGCGAAGGGAAAGGCGGCGCAGCAGCAGCATGCTGCAGCAGCCGGCTGGGCGTCCGTACACCCCACCGCAGCAGCAGCAGCAGCTGCTGCTGCTGCTGCAACTACTGTGCGTACACCAAACAGCCCCGAGGGAAAAAAGAAGCCAGTACGGGACTTGAAGACAGAGAGGCGCTTGCTGCTCCTGCTGTTGCTGCTGCTGCTGTTGTTGCTGTTAGTGTTTCCCTCCTTGCTGCAGGTGTTTCGCTCTGTGTTTATTAACAAAATATTTTTCACAGTGTGCTTTTGGTGCTGGACCTACTGCGAGCAGCAGTGGCTGCTGCTGGCTCGAGACTTGAAGCAGCGGCCGCATGCAGCAGCAGCAGCAGCAGCAGCGCAGCAGCAGCAGCATCGGCAGCCAGAACAGGGATCTTTATGCAGCGGCAGTGCTTGAGACTGTGACCGTACACTTGATTTAGTTCTGTTCTTTCCATTCTGTCGTTCTTTTTGAGCTTATCCTGCGGCGCTGCTGCTGCAGCGGGCAGCAGCAGCAGCAGCACTTCTATCAGCAGTAGCAGCAAAGAGCGCCTGGCTGCTGCCTTGCAAAACCATTTGAGCCTCATCTAAACGGCATTTGTCTCGAGCAGCGAAGCAGCAGCAGCGACAGGGATATCGACTGCAGCCGAACCAATAGCAGCAGCAGCAACAGCAGCAGAGGTAGCAGCAGCAGCAGCAGCACTTGAGCCCTGGTCCGGATACTCGTTGGGTCCAGGGCCCTAGCAGCAGACAATACGACCGAAGCAGCACCAGCAACGTGGGCAGCAGCAGAAGCAGCAGCAGCAGGATGCAGTTCCCTTACGGAGGCATGGGAGCCCCCCTGGGGGCCCCTCTAGCCGCTGCGCCGCATGCTGGTGTTGGTACGGAACCCCTCCTTACTTTTGTTGTTGTTGCTGCTGCTGCTGCTGCTGTGTCCGTCTGTGAGGCAGCTAGTGCAGCAGCACGAGTATTCCGTCTGCAGCAGCAGCTGCTGCTGCTGCAGCAGCAGCTGCAGCAGCACGAGTATTCCGTCTGCAGCAGCAGCTGCTGCTGCGTGCGCCTGTTTCTGCTGCAGCACCGCTGTTCTACGGGGCCACTTCTGCTGCTACAGCAGCAGTAGCAGCAGCAGCAGTTGCGCCTATTGCCGCTGCTGCTGCTGCTCCCGTTGCTGTGGCGCCACTTGCTGCAGCAGCAGCGGATGTAGGAGCCGCAGATAAGGACGTGAGGCGCTAGAACGAACACAGATCCTCTGTAACCCTTTCAGCTTCTAGGGTCTAGGGTTTAGGGTTTAGGGTTTAGGGTTTAGGGTTTAGGGTTTGTGCGTTTAGAAGGGCGACGAGGAGGAGGCCATCGCTCGCTGCCACCTGCACACGAAGCCGCAGCTCTCTTGCAAGTTTTGTCGAAAGTATAAAAGTGAGTTTTTTATTTCTTTTTTAATTCCTTTTTTGTCCTTTTTTGTCTCTTGTTAATTACTCGTTTTGTCCCCCTTTTTCTCCTTTTCATTCTCTTTTCTTTTGTCTTTTTACTGGTTCATTTGACCCGCTGCTGCTGCTGCTGCTGCTGCTGCAGGCTTCACGCAGCAAATGGGCGTGCTGCAGCAGCGGGCCATTGCTGCTGAGGAAGAGACGCAGCGGAAAAATATGGTGCAGATGACTGACAGCACCACCTACAACGTCAACCAGCTGCTCAGAGGTTTGCTGCTGCTGCTGCTGTTGCTGCTGCTGCTGCTGTTGCTGCTGCTGTTGCTGCTGATTTTGGTGGCGCTGCGTTTGCTGCTGTATCTGTTGCTGTGCTGCGGTACTGCTTCGCCCTGGATTTGGGTGTAGCTGGGTAGTTGTGTGCTGCTCTTGCTGCTGCTGCTGCTGCTTGAGCTGCTCTTGCTGCTGCTTGAGCTGCTGCTGCCGCTGTTTGAGCTGTTTTCTGCTGCTGCTTGAGCTGCCAGCTGCTGCTGCCTGAGCTGCTGCTGCGGGTGCCTGAGCTTTGCTGCTGCTGCTGCTTGTGCCGCACTGCGGCGGCGTGAGCCGCTGCCGCTGCCTGAGCTGCTGCTGCTGCTGCTGCTGCTGCATGCAGGGAACATAATGTCTTCGGAGTATTTCAAGTCTTTGCATCAATTCAAAAGTTTCAACGAAGTTGTTGATGAGTTGGCAGCTTTTGCTGACCACGCGGAGCCTTACTGCAGCGGCAGCACGAGGGCCCCCTCCACGCTTTTCTGCTGCCTCTACAAGCTCTTCACCCTCAAACTCACCGAAAAACAAGTAAGCAGCAGCAGCAGCAGCAGCAGCAGCAGGGGCAGCTGCAGCAGTGGGCAGCAGCAGTGGTAGCGGTTGCAGCAGCGACAGCAGCGGTAACAGGGGGAGCAGCGCGGGCTGCTGCTGCTGCTGCTGCTGCTGCTGCTGCTGATGCATGCGGGCAGAAGGAAGATGCTGCTGCTGCGGATGCTGGTACTGGCTGTTTGGGGATTGGCTGTGGCTCCTGGCGGTTCTGTTGCTGCTCGTGTTGCTGCTGCTCCTGCTGGGCAGTACTGTCGAACGGAGCTCCAGAAGGGTCCGTGCAAGGTGGCAGTTTGCTGCTGCTGCTGTTGCTGCTGCTGCTGCTGCTGCAGATGCACATGCTGCTGAACCACCGCGAGTCACCTTATGTGAGGTGTACGGGCTTTCTCTATCTTCGATACGTCCACCCTGCAGACCAAGTATGCTGCTGGTGTTATTGCTGCTTTTGCTGCTATTGCTGCTGCTGCTATTGTTGCTGCTGGTGGCATTGTTGCTACTGCTGCTGCTGCTGTTGGCGTTACTGCTGCTGAAGGCACTGCCGCAGGCGTGTGCTGCTTCTTTTACTTGTTGGAGGTCGCGTAGTGCTGGAACTGCGGAGCTTGCTGCTGCTGCCAAGTTTGCTGTTGCTGCCAAGCTTGCTGCTGCTGCTCAGTCTGCTGCTGCTGCTGCTGCTGTTGCTGCTGCAGCTGTGGAAGTGGTACGAGCCTTACTTTCTGGACGACGAGCAGTTCACTCCGGGGGCCGATCCCAACAGAGTCATTTCCATGGGTAAGGGCTTTTTGTCTTTTTTCTTTTGCTGCTGACGCAGCAGCAAGAGAGCTCCTTTTGTTTCCCCCAGGGACTGCAGCGGCTAGCTGCTTGCCTGGGGCAGCTAGCTAGCCAGGGGTAGCTAGCTAGCCAGGGACAGCTAGCTAGCCAGGGGCAGCTAGCTGTCCATGGGCAGCTAGTTATCCAAGGGCAGCTAGCCAGCCAGAGGCAACTGGCCCTCCCCAGGAAGCTAGCTAGCTGGGGGCAGCTAGCTAGCTGGGGGCAGCTAGCTAGCTGGGGGCAGCAAGCTAGCTGGGGGCAGCTAGCTAGCTGGGGCAGCTAGCTAGCTGGGGGAGCTAGCTAGCTGGGGGAACTAGCTAGCTGGGGGAGCTAGCTAGCTGGGGGAACTAGCTAGCTGGGGGAACTAGCTAGCTGGGGGAACTAGCTAGTTGTGGGAGCTAGGCAGTTGTGGGAGCTAGGTAGCTGGGTTCAGGTTGCTGTGCAGCTAGCTGCTGCTGCTGCTGCTGCTGCTGCAGGGGAGTACGTGCAGTCGCTGCTGACGGAAGACAAGTACTTCTCGACGGTGCTGCCGCGGCTGCCGGTGCTGGTCAAAAACGTCTACGGCGCGCAGCTAATGACGCTGCAGCAGCACAGAAGGCGGAAGGCCTTCAACAGGCGCCACATCGAGGCCTTCTTGCCAGCAGCAAAGTGCATCGCGCTCTCCAGGTAGGCCCCTAACCAGCAGCAGCAGCAGCAGCAGCAGCAGCGGCGGCTGCTGCTGCTGCTTGGTGATAGTGGTGGGGTCGCTGCTGCTGCTGCTGCTGCTTTCAGTGGTAGTCATGGTGTAGTGGTGTGGCTGGTGCCTCTGTGGATGCTGCTGCTCCTGCTGCTGCGTCTGTGGGCAGCGGTGGTGCTGCTGCTGCTGCTATGGGCTGTAGTGGGGGAGGGGTGCTGGTTAAGCCGGCGCTGCTATTGCTGCAGCTGCTGGTGCTCCTGCTGCTGCGGCTGCTGGTGCTGCTGCAGTAGAGGTGCGGCAGCAGGAGGAGGTCAGGAGAAGCAGAGAGTCTGTTCTTTGCCACGCGCACCTGCAGCAGCAGCAACAGCCACCGCAGCAGCTGCAGCAGTAGCCACAGCAGTAGCCACAGCAGTAGCTGCAGCAGCAGTAGGTGCAGCAGCAACAGCAGTAGCCACAGCCGTAGCCACAGCAGCACAAGCAGCAGCAGCGTTTACAGCAGCAGCACCAGTTGCATAGCAAGGACAGTGTGGTTCTGCCTCCACGAGGGCAAACAACTGCGCAGCAGCAGCAGCAGCAGCAGCACTCCGTATGTGTTGGTCCCACTTACCTGCACCGCTCAACGCAGCTTCTGCTGCTTTGGCCGCTGCAGTTCCCGCTGCTGCTGTTGCTGCTGCTGCTGCTGCTTGTTCCTCCCCCCCCACATTTGTGCCCACCAGCTTGCTGCGTCGGCACTTGTTGATTAGTGCTGTTGCAGAGGGCCTCCGGGCCTGAGCGTGCTGCTGCTGCTGCTGCCTGGATTTGCTGCTGCTGCCTGAGCTGCTGTTGCTGCATGGCTTCCCCGTAGCAGCTGCGCGTTTTCGCCGCTGGCTCTTCGCGTCTTCGCGGCTGGCGCTGCTTCGCGGAGCTGCTGCTGCTGCTGCTGGCACCTGAGCCGCTGCTGCTGCTGCTGCTGCTGCTGCTGCAGCGGGGACTGGCTGGAGGGCACCGTGGTGTCCGTGGACAGCAAGGGCGTGTGGGTCAGGCTGGAAGACGGCAGCGAAGAACTTGTGGATTTGGGACTTGTGCAGCTCCTTTCTTACAAAGTAGAAGGGGCCACCCCCAAGGCCAAGCGCAGCAGAAACAGAGACAGAGACAAAGAGCGACGCAGAAGGTTAGCTGCTGCTGCTGCTGCTGCTGCTGGAGTTGCTGCTGGTGCAGCTGGTGCAGCTGGTGCTGGTGGCGGGCAGCGAGGGCTGGGCGGGGATTTGGGGTTGGGTGTTAGCAACAAATGACGCACCTCCAGCTGCTGCTGCTGCTGCTGCTGCTGCTGCTTCTGGCGGCCAGCAGGCGCTGGTAGGGGTTCTGGGGATGGGCTTCTCAACCGTCCGTCCTGCTGGTGTTGCTGCTGCTGTTGCTGCTGCAGCCGCAGCCGCAGCGCTGAGAGAAGCGCAGCGAAGACGCAGCAGCAGCTGCTGCAGGAGTTCCGGAGAAAAGAACAGGAAAAGGCTCTGGCGACTGGCAAGGTGAGGGGCATTTTGCTTCCTCTTTGTCTCTTTTATCTGTTTTATCTTTTGCATCTTTTCATCTTTTCAATCTCTTTTACTTTTTCATTTTTTTCTTTTTCGTTTTTCTGGCAGCGGCCTCTGTCGCTGTGTCTCTGCAGCAGCAGCACCTGCCTTCTTTGCAGCAGTTTTTACTCCCATTTTCTCTTTTTTTTGTTTTTTCTTTTTGTATTTTTTTTTTATCATTTTTGTCATTTTCTTTACTTGTTGCTGAGCAGCTCTTTCTTTTGAGGCTTCTCTTAGACTTTTTTGCCTTCACGTTTGCTGCTTTCGCCTCCTCTACTTATCTAGAGTTTAGGGTTTAGGGTTTAGGGTTTGCTGCTCAGGACTACGCACGCCGGCCCACTTCGTACAAAAGCGCACTATCTCTCAAGATGACCTCTTCGCGGCATGCGTGAGTTCTTAAACTGCACTTTGTGGTTTATCTGTTTTATTTTTGTCCCTTGGTTTCTTCGGTCTAGGGTTTAGGGTTTAGGGTTTAGGGTTTGGGATTGTTTGATGGTCTCCAATGTGACGCGTTGATGCTTTCAGCTTTAGGGTTTAGGGTTCTTTCTTTGCTGCCTTCAGGGTTTAGGGTTTAGGGTTATTTGGTAGTCTCGAATGTGTCTCCCTGCTGCTTTTGTGTCTTCTTTGCCTCTTTGGCTTTCCCGCTCTGTGTCATGCTGTCTGCTGCTGCTGCTGCTCCTGCCGCTCCTGCTGCCTGCAGGCCTTCGCCAGAGAGGCCTCCTCCCCCAAGGGCTCACCCGCGATCTGCGTTAGCGCATGCGCAGCAGCTACAGCAGCAACAGCAACAGCAACAGCAGCAGCAGCAGCAGCAGGATCCTCTGCAGAAGCAGCGGATTTCGTCCCTCGTAGCACGGTACGCGTCTAGCGAGCCCTTCACTGCCGCTGCTGCAGTTGCTGCTGCAGCTGCTTCCTGCGCCGTTGCCTTTGCTGCTGCAGTTCACTTCACTGCCGCTGCTGCTGTAGCCCGCTTCACTGCCGCTGCTACTGCTGCTGCTGCTGCAGGTACAGCCGTGCAGGCGGGGAGAATGCAGACCGGCGGCGCCGCAACGACACGGAGGCCCCCGAGGTGATGCGCCTGGGGTAAAAAAGGTTCTGTCTTTTTTATTTGCTTCTCATTTGCTGCTGCTTGCTGCTGCTTGCTGCTGCTTGTCTGTTGTCATCTGCTAGCCGGAGCAGCAGGCGGGCGGGGAACTATACGAAACGTCAAAAATCAATTCAAAGTGTTGCTGCTGCTGCAGCTGCTGCTGTAGTAGCAGCAGCTTCTACAGCCGCGGCACCTGCAGCAGCTTCAGTAGCAAAAGCTGCAGTAAGAGCAGCAGCAACGGACGTCCACTGGGGAGAGACACCCGAATAGACACTGAATTTTAAAAAAGGTGCTTTGCTGCCGCTGCTGCTGCTGCTGCAACACACACTACTCGTGCTGCCGCTGCTGCAGTTCGCAGTCAAACTCGAAGCAGCAACAGCAGCTGCTGCTGCTGCAGCCGCTGCAGCAGCAGCAGTCGCGGTACAAGGGCAGACATCCAGGGATGCTGTGACCGCTCTCTGCAGCAGCGGCTGTTTCAGCTGCAGCTGCAGCAGAAACTGCTTCAGCAGCAGCCGCAGCAGCTGCTGGAGCGAAGAACAGATTCCCAGGATCCGAATTCGCCATTTTGAGGGCAGTGCATGAACTGCCTTTGATTTGAATGGCCTGCTGCCACAGCAACTGCTGCTGCTGCTGTCCTGATGTCCAGTGACAGCAGCAGCAGCAGCAGCCGCAGCAAGAACTGCCACAGTGCAACAGGCACTGCAGCATTGAAATGGACAACTATGGCTACCGGGGACTGCTGGGGTAGGGGTCGCATCTTACGTGCTGCTGCTGCTGCGGTTCTGGCCTGTGCGGCGCCTGCTGCTGTTGCTGCAGCAGATGCTGCTGCATTTGCTGCAGCTGCCGCCGCTGCAGTTGCTGTTGGTGCAGCTCCTGTGCCGTGCAGGAGGCAGACTGTTGCTGCAGAAGCTGCTGCTGCTGCTGTAACTGCTGGTAGTGGTGCTGCTGTGTTAGCTGCTGCTGATGCAGCTGTTGCTGCTCTAGAAGCCGCGGGTGCTGCTGCTGCAGGTAGTTGTGCTGCGAATGGACTAATGGAGCAGCAGGTGATTGGTGCTGCCCCCAAAGACGAGCTACAGGAGGGGCCACGGAATCTGCTGCTGTTGCTGTTGCTGCGCTGCTTCTCGCTGTGGTACTTAGAGGGGGTCGGCGGCTTGGGGAGGCACTGATTCGCTGCAGCAGCATCTGGTGCTGCTGCTGCAGGTGGCTGCACATTCCGTATCTAGCAGCTGGCTCGGCTGCAGCAGCAGGGGGCTGCGCAAAGTTCTCTACCTTCCATGGGGCAGCGCTTTCGCGCCGTAGCAGCTGCTGCTGCTGCGGATGGGGCTGTTGCGTGAATAGCGGCGTTTGATCCTGCACGTGCTGTTGCTGCTGCTTTTGGGACTGTTGCATGAACAGCTGCTGCTGCATTTGCTGCTGCATCTGCTGCTGCATTTGCTGCTGCACGTGCTGCTGTTGCTGCTGCATTTGCTGTTGCTGCAATTGCTGCATGCCCACTGAGGGCGTGTAAGGCTGCTGCAACTGCCCTGCAGTGCTGCAGTGCGTAGACGGCCGGGATCCGAGGGACCGCGCCTCCTGTTGCTGGTGACTGAACTGCTGCTGTGCGCGCAGCAGATGCTGCTGCTGCGGCTGCTGCTGCCGGCGGTGCTGCGTCACGTTCACTATGTGGTGCTGTGCTACAAAGTCCTTCAAAGGCACCAAACCTGCAGCAGTTCGAATTAAAGGGTCACCTGCAGGCACGGGCACGGGCACTGCCACTGGGCGCTCCACCTGTCGGTACACTGGAACTGGCCGTGCGCACGTCACCTCGCAAGGCACCTGCAGCAGCAGCAGCAGCAGCAGCAGCGGCAGGCGCTGTGAAAGGCGTGTAGAAGCACGCGGGCAAAAACAGCGGCGAGCTCGAGTCCAACGGGTAAAAGCAACTCTGCGGCCTTCGCTGCCGTGAATTGCGTGCTTAAAGCAGCAGCAGCAACAGCAGCAGCAGCAGCAGCAACAGCACCAGCAGCAGCAATTCGCACCTTCACAGGGAAAGGCTCCTCCACAATGCGCTCCGTGTAAACTGGGACCTTCCGCTCGACATATCTGGGCACGCCAAAGTCACACACTGCTACTGCTGCTGCTGCAGTTGCTGCCTGTTCTAAGGCTGGACTGCTACTGCTGCTGCAACTGCTGCTTGTGCTAGGGTGGGGTTGCTGCTGCTGCTGCTGAAGTGATTTCTGGACGGGTGCTACTGTTGCTGCTGCTGCTGCCGCAATTGCTGCCTGCACTGACGCTGGAATGCTATTGTTGCTGCTACTGTTGCTTCCCCTGCTGGTGTAATTGCTACTTGAATTGTGGCTGGGCTGCTGCTGCCACTGCTGCTGTTGCTGCTGCTGCTGCGTCTGCTGCTGTTCCTCTGGTGTTGCTCACTTGGTAACGAAGACAGGCTTCTCCACCTCCTCATAGACGTCTTGGGGCTGCGGTATCTTCACATACCTGCACCAGCAGCAACAGCAACAGCAACAGCAGGAACAAGTGCAGCAGCGCACCGTGAGCACGGGCAGCAGCAGGCTGGAGAGCGGCTGCTGGGCTCCACCGCTGCTTCTTTTGCTTCTCTTTTTGTTTGCTTCCTCGTTCATTTTCATTTATTTTTCGAATTTCCTCTCTTAATTCCACTTGTTTGTCTTACCGAGGAATGGGCTTTGGTATTTCTCTGTAAATTGTCTTCGGTGGCTGAGCCACGGGCCGCTGCCGGTGTATGTACCGAGGTGTCGGCACCTTGACCCTCTTCTCCACCACCTGCAGCAGCAGCAGCAGTGGCAGCAGTAGCAGCAGCAGTAGCAGCAGCAGTAGCAATAGCAGCAACAGCAGTCATTGCAGTGGTTGGGGCCGCAGGGTCTGCCGTGAGAGGAGGACAGCTAAAGCCGCAGCAGCAGTAGCAGCAGCTACAGCAGTAAACATCCCAGTAAGAAAAGGAAAATCAGTAGCCGCAGCAGGATGGATTACACTTGCGAGACAGCAAAACGCAGACAGACGCAGCAGCAACAGCAGCAGCAGCAGCAGGCAGCCAAGAAACAAGCAAAATGCAGACCCGCGCAGCAGCAGCAGCAGCAGGCAGCCACACAGCAAACGAAGAGCAGCTGGCTCACAGGGACAACAAGGACAAACGAAATAAAATAAACGAAGTGAATCAAAGAAGACGAGAAGAGACAAAGGAATGTCAAAAGTGAGATAAAGGGAGATGCAGGAGAGACAAAAGCGAGGCAAAAGAGAGGCAAAAGAAAGTCGAAACTGCAGCGAGGCACAGACGGAAAGGAGCAGCAAAGGAGCGAAAAGGAAAAAGAAAAGAACAAAAAAGGAACTAAAATGTCAAAAAAAGAAAAGAAACTGCTGCTGACCTGCTGCTGCAGCACCTCCACCACCTTCTGCGTCTGAACTACGTTAATGTGGCGCTGCGGCACCGGCACAGGAACGTCTACGTACTGCACCTGCACCTGAGGCACTTCTACGATCTTCTCCACCTCCACCTGAGCAGCAGCAGCAGCGGCAGCAGCAGCAGCAGCGGGTAGCAGCAGCAGCAGCAGGGGGTAGAAGCAGCAGCAGCAGCAGCGAAGAACCAGCAGCAGCGGGCCGCAGAAGCAACAGCAGCAGCAGAGGCAGAAACAGCGGCACAAAGGGGTAGAAACTGCAGCAGCAGGGTAAGGGAGTGACGGGGACATCACGGATAGGAGGCAGAAGCAGCAGCAGCAACAGGTGTAGATGCACAAGCAGCAAGGATCGCAGCAAAATGAGTGGCAGAGGCAACACTCAGCAGGCAAAAGATCATCTGCAGCCGCAAAAAGAGCATTAGCAGCAAAGACACCAAAAGCAGCAAAAGGAGCAGCAGTAGCAGCACCATCCAGAGCAGCAACGACAACGGGAATGGCAGCTAGAGCAGCACGAACAGCAGCTGCATTAAGAAGAGCGCAGCAGGAGAAGCAAGGACACGAGCGCCCGCAGCAGCAGCAGCAGAGAACGCCAAACAGCAGCGCCAACAGCAAGGGCGGCAGCAGCAATAGCACCAGCAACGGAAGTGGAGCGGCGCATCTGCCCATAATGTGAGCAGTAGGAGCAGCAGCAGGGACAGCAGTAAGAAAAGTAGCAGCAGCAACAGGGGCAGCAGCAGCAGCAGGAGCAGCACCTGTCTGTACTGGATCTTGGGGACCTCGATGATCTTCTCGACTTCAATTCTTTTGATTCTTGGAGTTATCTTTTCAACAACTTGTACTTTTGGAACAGGAATGAGCACTTCCTGCTGCAGCACCTGCGGCACCTCCACCACGCGCTGCTGCTGCTGCACCTGAGGCACTTCTATGCAACGCTCCACCACCTTTTCCACCGGGACTTCTATGATATTTTCCTGAGCAAAACACGTCGCACAAGCAGCAAGCTAGGTTGATAGAAACCCATAGGCTGGAAAGCCTCATAGCTAGCTGGATAGCTAGCTAGCCAGCTAGCTAGCTAGCCAACTGGCTAGCTACGCCCTACATAGCGTGGGAAATGGAAAAACAAACGGTTATTCAGACAAATCGAGGTTCAGCTATTATCTTTTATGGCTAGCTAGCTAGCTAGCTAGCTAGCTAGCTGACTAGCTAACCAGGTACTGGACAGGACAGATACAAAGCCGTATGCAAGTATAGCTAGCTAGCCAGCGAGCTAGCTAGCCAGCCAGACAGCTGAGGTGGCTAGCTAGCTGGACTTATTTGTGGAAGTAAATGGAAGCAGAGGCAGGAGAAAAAGCAGCAGAGAACGCAAGAGCGGAGATGCAGCAGCAGCTTTAAGAAGAGCCGCAGCCACCGAAGGGCAGCAGCAGCACTGAGAGGCCGACAAGGAGAAGCAAAAAGAAGCAAAAAGAAGGAAAGAGAAAACAAAAAGTCAAGAGAAACTCAAAGCAGCGAAAGAACAAGAAAAGTTCCAGAAGCAAAAGTACCTGCAGCACAATTCGAGGCACGTGAATAATTTTCTCCTTCAGCACCACTTCAGGGACTTCGACAATTTTCTCTCTTATTTGAATTTGAGGCACTTCTGTAATCTTTTCTACAAACTCTATGCGGGGGACTTCCACGACCTTCTCCTGCAGCAAGCAGCAGCAGCAGCAGCAGCAGCAAAAGCAGCAAAAGCAGCAACTGAAAAACGGAGAGAATCGCGCAGCTGTAGCACGAGCAGCGAATGTCCAGAATTCAGCAGCAGAAGCGAAAGCCGCAGCAGCAGCAGCAGTAGCAGAAGCAGCAGCTGCGGCGGCTGTGGGAGTAGCACGATCCGCAGCAGCAAATGGCAACAGATGGAAGCAGCAGCAGCCGCAACAGCAGCAGCAGCAATTGCAGCAGCAATGCCCTCATGAGGCCTTACTACGATGCGGGGCTCGCAGATAAACTGCTGCGGCAAAAAATCATCCAGATCCGATTGCTGCATCCGCTGCTGCATCTGCTGCGGGTTCTGTTGCATTTGTAACTGGAGCAGCTGTTGCTGCTGCTCCTGCTGGCCAGATATCGTCATGCTGCTGCTGGTTGCTGCTAAGCCGGGAATGAAGGACTGGGGCTGAGGAACGCAAGGGCCCTCCCCATTAGCAGCAGGTGGGCCCGTTAGGTAGTGCTGCTGCATTTGCTGCTCTGCGGTCTGCTCCTGCTGCAGCTGCTGCTGCATTTGCTGTATTTGCTGCTGATCCAAGGCAGCTACCTCCTGCTGCTGCTGTTGCTGCTGCGAGGGCTGCAAGCTTCCGTATCCCTGCGCATACCGCTGCAATTGTCGCTGCTGCATTAGTTGCTGCTGTTGCAGTTGCTGCTGCTGGTGTTGCAGTTGCTGCTGCTGCTGCTGGAATTGCTGCTGCAGTTGCTGCTGCAGCTGGTGCTGCAGTTGGTCGTTTTCCGCCGAGCCTTCCAGTCGCTGTGCTGCTGCCTGGGCATTCATGTCTTGTATCAAAAGAGAATTCGCCTGCTGCATTTGCTGCAGCTTATGCTGAAGGAGCAGCTGCTGCTGCTGCTGCTCCAGTCCGTTGTAGCGTGCGTCTTGCTGCAGTAAAAGGTCTTGGCCTAACAAAGCTCCAGCAGCTAAAGAGCACCTATCCTCAGGAATCCCACGGCCGCTGGGGCCCCCGGGGCCCCCGGGGCCCCCAGGGCCTCCAGGGACTCCAGGGCCCCCAGGGCCCCCAGGAGTCCCAAGGGCCCCCGGGGCCCCCGGCGAAGGCGAAGGCGATGAGCTGTAGAAGGTGTGGAGAGCGCTGCCGCCCGTGTCCCCAGCTGGCGCTGGGGTCTCCCCATTTCGGTGCATGCAGTGTTGCGTGTTTCCCAGGAGTGTGTTTTGTCGGGGCTGCTGCGAAGGAGGAGCGCTCAGAACTGCTGCTGCTGCTGCTGCTGCTGCTGCAGTTGGCTGCAGACAACCTGCTCTGCTGCTGCGAGCCGCGGCCTCGGGGCCCCGCAGGGAGTAAAGGGGGTCTGCAGCCACAAAAGGGCTGCCTTGCTTGGCCAAGGAGTCAACAGCAGGGGCAGCAAGAGCGTTGCAGACGGTGAGAGGACCATCCATCCCGGCAAGCCGCTGCTGCCGCTGTCGTCGCTGCTGCTGCTGCTGCTGCCGCCTGCTGATCTGGCTCTTTGTCAGGGATATGCCGCCTCATATGAAACAGCTAATAGGGAAAGTGGATTTTTTATCGTGCTAAGGCGTCGCAGCTTCTGGCAGTCAGTGAAAGCGCAGCGGGCGGGGGGGCCCCTGGCTCGGGCGTCGCCGATCTCTCGGGGGGACGGTGTAGGGGCCCCTGGGAGGATATCAGGGGTTACCTGGGATGCAAAAAGTCAAAAACTAAAATGTAAAATATATTAATTATGTAAAAATGCACTAAGAGAGGCATGAGTTCCACAGGAAGAACCGCTGTAAGCCACCGACGACCAGACCAGGCCAGCACCACCGTCGGCTGCTGGTCGCCCTTGGGGGCAAGAGGAAACGCGAGCAATAACCGCTTCTTTGTTTCGACTAATGTTTAAAGTCTAAAACAATTGCTTGTTTACTTTTTTCTACCTTAACTTCGCGCAACAGAGAGACAAGATGATTACGCGCAAGCCTACCGCGTATTTTGAGGACCCTGGCGACAACATTCACTGCTGCTGCGGCTGCTGCTGTTGTTCCTGCCCCCAAATTTGTCCCCTAATCCCTTTTTGAGCTCATTACAATTATGTTTTTACTCGGGTTGCCGATTTGTGTGTCTGCTAAGAGGGCCAGCATCCTGGGCTTGCCGCTGCAGCGCTGCACTGTCAACTGCAGCTGCCGCTGTAGCTGCAGCACCTTGTCTCGCGCCCTAGCAGCAGCAGCGAACACGCTGGGGCTTCCCGTCTTTGTTCTAAAGCACGAGAGCATTACAGCATTACTGCTGCTCCCATCTTCTAGGACCAGCTGCTGCAAAGACCCTCTAGACACTGAGGAGCCAACGCAACTAATCTAGGACACCCAGTGACCGCTGCAGCGAGTGTCAGCAAAAAGAGAAATTGCAGTTTTCTGCACTATATCCAAATCGCCTCGACAAGTGAGTACTGTCTCCTAGCTAGATGCTGCGCTTATATGCCAAAGAAGGAGCCAAAAGCCCAGCAGCCAGCCGCATCACGAAGAAGGACTCACAGCAGCAGCAGCGAGCATAAAAAGCAAAGAGAAAAAGCAAGCAGCAGCCGCAAGCAGTAGCAGAAGCAGGCAGCAGCAGCACGCAACAAGCAGTTGTACGACAGCAGCACGAAGCAGCAGCACGAAGCAGCGGCAAAAAGCAGCAACAAACAGCTAAAGCAGATGTTGCGCCTCGTTTACTTTTCTTTCTACTGCTTTTTGTGCAGGTCTGTTGATGCAGCACTCCGCGTTTGTCGCCATTTATGTGCTACCTTTCGAGTTTCACTTTCTTGGTCTTCAGACGACCTTGGATTTCCACACGGCAGGTGCTGTTGCTGCGGCTGGTGTTGCAGCTGCTCGCAGGATTCTAATAACCTAGGCTTGCTGGCGTGAGTCTGCTGCGAAGTGCATTGCTCTAAGCAGCAGCGCCCAGCAGCAGCAGCAAGCAGCTGCAGCAGACAGCAGCACCGAGCAACAGCAGCACAACAGACAAGCAAGCAGCAGCAGCATGCATCAGCGCCAAGCAGCAGCACCAAGCAGCAGCACCAAGTAGCAGCAGCAAGCAGCAGCACCGTGCAGCAGCAAGCACCTCCTGGCGGTCAGGCGATTTGCCCAAGTCTGCAGTTGTGGGTGCTTCTCCCATGGGTCAAGCTGCAGCGCCTGCTGCGGCAAATGGTACAATTCGAGTGTCGTTTTGACTTATAGTTTTAGCCGGCGCAGCAGCAGCAAGCAGTAGCAGCAAGCAGCAGCAACAAAGAGCAACAGAAGCCAGCAGCAACAGCAAGCAGCAGCAAGTAAGAGCAGCACCGAGCAGAAGCAACGAAAAGAAGTTGCAAACAGACACAGCATCACGCAGCAGGAAGCATCAGAGGCACGACTCAAAAAGAAGACAAAGCAGCAAACAGCAGCAAGCAGCTCTACCAAGCAACAGCACGAAGCAGCAGCGCGCAACAGCAAGCAGTGGCACCGAGAACCAGCAGCATCCAGCAGCAAACAGTAGCGAAGAGCAAACAGCAGCAACAAGGATCACTAAGCAAGAAAACTACCACGCAGAAGCACGTAACAGCAGCAGCAGTAGTAGCAAGCAGCATCAGCAAGCAGCGGCAACAGCGACAAGCAAAAAGTGCAGACAGCAGCGGTAAGCCGCAGCACCAGCAGCAGCAGCAACAGCAGCCGAAAGCAGCAACAAGCAGCAGTTTCACGCAGCAGCAAGCAGCAGTTGCAGGCAGCAGGTGCGAGCAGCAGCAAGTCCCGGTGGCAGCCAGCAGCAGCAGTCAGAAGACCCACCAAGCAGCATCAACAGCAAACAGAAGCTGCCAAGCCGCAAGCAGCGGCAGCAGCACGCAGCAGCAGCAAGAAGCATCAGTACGTAGCAGCACAAAGCAGAGGCGGCAAGCAGCAGCAGCCGGCAGGACCCGGAAGCACGAACAAGCAGCATGAGCAGCAGGCAGTACCAGCGAGCATCAGGCAGCAGCAGGCAGCAGCATCAAGGAGCAGCCGCAGTACGCAGCAGCAGAGGAAAGCAGCAACACCAGAGAGCAGCCGCAGCAAGCAGCTGCGGCAGGCAGCACCAAGCAGCAGCACCAACAAGCAACGCAACCAGCACGCAGCAGCACTCATAAGGAAGGAGCAACACCAGCAGCAACCAGCAGCAGCACGCTCCAGCAGCACACTGCAGCAGAGAGGTGCCCGCTAGTGGTTAGCTGATTTGTCCATCTCATTCCGTAACTGAAGAGGCAGCTCCTACCCTGTTCTGCGTACCTTTCAGGTTTCAGGTCATCGCTTAAACTAGCTGGAGGGCTGGGGAGAAGCTCCCATGCAACGAAAAGCAATTGACAGCAGCAGATTTTGCAAGTTAGGCGTCGCTCTGCTTCCTAGATTCTGCTTTATTTGGGTAACACGCTTTCTTTATTTGTTGCTCAATAGCGGCAGGCAGTTGGAACGATGGGGAAACAACTTGACTCAAAATCGTCAAAAAGATTTTCTGCGGCTCGCTACTCTGTTACAAAGTACAAATTCTCATTTTTTTGTATCCCATCATGTATATTCATCTCCAGCTGTATACAAGTCGCATGTGTGTATACGTGTCTGTCGCATGTGTGTATACGTGTCTGTGCATATAAGTATGCGCCTCCTCCTATACGTGTTGAGGGCAGCATACTAACAGCTATTACACAAGCCTGCCTCCCTAGGTCCGTTTCGTCCTAACTCACTCTTAATTCTCCGATAGAATGTTACTCGGAATGGGAATAAGGTTCCTTTGTAAGACGCCCTAGACAAGCCTTACCAGAGCGCTTTTAGAGCACTTTGCAGACCCTTTCACACAGCCCAGAAGTCACGCAACCACTGCTAGCGGCCAAACTCCTTTTGTGTGAAAAACTTACGAGCAGCACATCTACGCACCTTTGCAATAAAAGTGCAGTAAGATATGGAGCAACAAGGCTGTTCACTTTCGGCATATAACCTGGAAAGTTCATTGCCTTTGTGGTAGTCCTTGAAAACCCGGTGAGCGACTACTGGCAGCGACAATTCATTAGCTTTCTAGAGACGAAATAATGTAGTCCGTATAATTATACAGTGTGGTTGTTTACTTCTCCTTCTGGGCATTCCTGTCATGTTCTTCTTTGTTGACTCGCTGAATGGCATTCGTGTCAAAAGTACGCAGCAATGCAGTACCTTTTTCCTTGTTGCTGCTCCACTCCTCTCGCACACAGATGCTATTGACAAGACCACGCCCATATGTACATGCTGTTTGCGAAGAACGCTCTAGACCGCCAGAGTCAAAAGGCATTAGCAGCGACATCAAAGTGCTTTTCCCCTGCAGCGATGCTGGATGCTGGCTCTTGCGCGTTAGGGACGTGCTTTTTGCTACGCTTTTTTCGGGGCTCTACGTGCGTCTTCATGTCTTCCACAAAATGTGATATGGGCAAACAGAGCGTATTCGTAGTATAGTTACCAGTGACTCCACTAAGTACGATATTTAGGCACCATTATGTGGTTTGAAATTACGACGACGGCTACGCAGTCTCATTGACTATTTAAATCAGCCAATGCAACGTCTAGCCACATTGGGTTGCCCGTGCGTTCTTCCGTCCGTTTGTTGTGTCAACGTAGCGTATAAGCTGTCTTTAAATCGAAACCTATTTCCCAGAATAAAAGCATGCCGTAAACATGAAGCAAAAGCTGACTACCACTACTCGGCATGAAACCCAGGCCGCACGTGCAGAAAGTGAAGAAGCAATCCGCCGTGATGGACGACCAACAGTGCAGTATCAAGACTGTAATGCTTCAGAAGGCCACTGTTAACAATTCCAATTGCAACCGAAAACCGGGGAAGAAGGAATTTCCCTATCTCCACGTCTTTATGCAAACCGTTATCTGACGCCGCGGAAAGTCAGTCAGAAACACTGTTTTACACTCGCAGTGGCGCTAAACGTGATCCCAACGCGCAACCACGAATAACGAGTAAGTCATGCCTACTGAGAATTTAATTTGCGCACCCACAACATTTCAGAGCCATCCCAGGAGAAACGTCAAGAAAATGAAACCTACGCCAATTCCTTCAGCTCTCGCAACTCTCTGGTTGCTGCCCGCTTAAAATATGCGCGGCATCATTGCAGAAGACACTACAAGATGCGCGAATGCTGCCGTCTTAATTCATCTGCACAGGCAGCTTATTCTATGCTTCAGATATGAAGAGAACGTTCATTGGGGAATGACAAGCTTATGCAGAGGTAGCCAAGGAGTTTGCACACAGCTGTGGTGTAGAACGCTTGTGCTGATAATCTTTCTGGCATACCGGTCTCCCAGAAGTGCGCAATAGCCTCTTGCATCATCTCAACTTCGACACCATCGCTGGGATTGGCGACTGTGCGCCATTTTGCACGCTCAATATCCAGCGAGAGCCGCTTTTGCCTGTTTCTGTGTCTCCAACGCAC